GAAGTAGAGGCAGGCAGATCTCTGTGAGTTTGAGGCCAGCCTTGTCTACAGAACGAGTTCCAGGAAAGGCTCCAAAGCAATACAGAGAATCCCTGTCTTGAAAAACCAAAAAAGGATATATTCACTTAAAATTTTGGCTAAATATTAATAGCAAAGGTCAGCATACAAGGAACTGGATAATTGGGAGGAAATGCAGAAGAGAAACATGCTCCAGGGACCAAAGATAACAGAATATATCAAAATCTATGGAAGGTGGAAGCGTTCATCCTTATCCTAGGAATCACTGATAAAGAATTGCTGATATACAACTTAATATGAAGACACGTATAGAAACTATAATATCAGAAATGACCTCACAGTAAATTAATTGTGGTGACCTATAAAATAATAGTATTGACCTTGTCTTAAACAGCTAGAAACTTGAAAGCACAAGGGAGTATTAGCTGAAAAATATAGGTTGTGAGACATTACACAAATTGTGTCTTGTTTATAAATAAAGGATTCTCATAGAAAGAGGTTGGAAAGATAGATTCAAAGATGCTAAATTTCTGGCAGAATTTTCACCTTCTCCCATGTCAATGGTTCTCAACCTGTGAGTAGTGATCTCTTTGGGGTATGCATATCAGACATTCTGCATAATAGATATTTACATATCTATTATATATTATATTACATATCTATTCAAAACAATGGAAAGATTACAGTTATGAAATACCAATGAAATAATTTTATGGTTCGAGGTCACCACAAGATGAGGAACTGTATTAAATGACCACAGCACTAGGAAGGCTGAGAAACACTATACTGTGTTTATATTCTCAATATGGTATAAATCTGAGTTATTTTACAAAAATACCTTTAAAATAGTTTGTTCTTATGAAAACTGATCCTACAGTATTAGTTTAGTATACAGGTACAGGATTGAAAGCACTTTCAAGATAGGTGGCACACGCCTTTAATACCAGTACTCAGGAGGCAGAGGCAGGTGGATCTCTATGAGTTCAAGGCCAGCCTGCTCTACAGAGCGAGTTCCAGGACAGCCTCCAAAACAATACAGAGAAACCCAGTCTCGAAAAACAAACAAACCAAAAAAAGAAAACACTTTCAAACACAAACTAAATCTCAGCAATAAATGGTGAAGTGAAAGTATACAAAATGGCCATTGGTTGAAATACAATACAGACAAAATAGTGAGGTGTCATAAAGGTTAATATTTTGTGGCATAACTTGAAGAAAATCAGACCATTCTTGTTATCATAACCTCCATTCTCTTATATTTATTCTTTTTAAGACCTTAATTATATCTATCTTTAGATGTAAAACTCAGTATAGATTTCTCAAATAATATAGTGAGCTATTTTATAATACTGTATAAACATAATTATTTTTATGTAAATCACTATTTCCATATCTATTTAAGTATTGTTTGTATAATCAAAGAATATAACATTCAAGGTCAAAGAAAAGGGCAAGGAATTATCAAAAAGATTTCCAAAGAAAGTACTTGAATACATAAGATCCAAGTTATTTTTGGACTGATCATTAAAAACAGTCCAGGAGAAATGAGAAAACAGGCTGTTCTGTATTAGAGGAGGAGAACAGAATTTAGGGAATTTACTTCATCAGTGTCATAGAGCAGTATGAAGCCAATGTAGGTGCCCATGCATCCATCTTGGCCCTATTTCAATACTCAGTTCCAGTAAGGCATCACACACTTTATACTATGTTCAGAGAGTACTAGATGCTGACAGACACAGCCAAAGATTTCCCCCATAAAACTGGAGTTGGCCATGAGGAACTCGCCTGTCAATCTCTCTTCCCTAAAGACCACTACAATCCTATCACAAGCAGAAGTTGATACACAAACCCATCTCTTGCCTCAGCCTTTGCCCGTTGTAATGCATTTCTGTTCTTCCTTTAGAACTTCATATAGAAATCATTCTTTACTGAATTGTGTCAAACCCACTTAAGGTTCCCAGGGAATAAGATCATGCTCGCTCTGAAGGAATTTGGAAAAATAATGAACTACTGTCAACATTTTCACTTAAATTCTTCCCTTGCCGGAGGACTCTTAAGCAGTAAGTGAAGCCTCATAGCATATGAAACTCCCTCACAAATTTGCAGGTGTTTGAATGTCAGCCTCAAGGTGCATCTTCTCCGCAATTCAGATGAATACATTTTCTTGGGAGATGCAAGAGGGAAGCAGATTACAGGACTCTGTTATGGTGGGTCGGGGCTGTTTCTGGTGGCAGATACAATAAAAGGGTCAGATTAAAAGGAGGGAGAAGTGTTGGAAAACACTGATACAAGTTTCCACACAAAATACAAAGAGAAATTAAAGTCCTATTCAAAAAGTGTCATTTCTAGTTTACTGACAAGCTGCCCCAATGTATCTAAAGCACCAATCTTTTCTTTCTTTTCCCTCTTTCCTTTTTCTGTTTTAACCTTAACTTTACTTTCTGTAAAGAAAGATACACCTGACCCTAAACGGTGTAGGTGGTGTGTGTGAGATGTAGTCAAGACACAAATCCCAGTGTTGGCCCATCAGTAGCCCCTCCTCAGCCCTTTCCATGGGCTCTGATCATGGGAAAGGCATATGGCCATAGTCATATCATAGCAGATTTAAGGAGGGATCAGGCTCTTTTTCCACACAGGTCTGAGGTCAATATACAACAATTACACAAACGTAAATCTTGCTATGTATGAAGCAGTTCTCTAACTGTACCACATATGTTTTACCATTAATTCCTTACAATAACCATGTTGTTTTTTATTTTAAAATTTATGTATGTATGTATTAGTGTGTGTGTGCATGAGGTGTGGAGCCATATATGTCATAGCATATGTACATGGACATCAGAGGACAACTTGTAGTGTTTGATTCTTTATTTCTGTCATGTAAGCCCCAGTGATTGAACTCAGGATTTCAGGTTTGGAGGAAGCACCTTTAACACACTGAGCCATCTTTTAAAATTATTTTTAATTGAAAATAGGTATTTTTATACAATATAGTTTGACTGCAGCATTACAGTTTCCCCTTCCAGTGTCCTCACAGATCCTACCCACCCAAGTCCACACCCTTTCTTTTTCTCCCTCATTAGAATACAAACATGCATCTACAACAATAATAATAATGAATGAACAATGTAGTCAGGCCAAGAATACAAACATGCATCTACAATAATAATAATAATGAATGAACAATGTAGTCAGGCCAAGAATACAAACATGCATCTACAATAATAATAATAACGAATGAACAGAGTAGTCAGGACAATTAAAAATCATATCTAATGGGCGTTGGTGGGGCACGCCTTTAATCCCAGCACTCAGGAGGGAGGCAGAGGCAGGCGGATCTCTGTGAGTTCAAGGTCAGCCTGGTCTACAGAGAGAGTTCCAGGACAGCCTCCAAAACAAGACAGAGAAACCCTGCCTCGAAAAACCAAAAAGAAAAAAAGAAAAAAATCATATCTAAGCATGTAAGTTATGAAATTCTCTGAAGTGCCCAGAACATACACACAAGAAAGAACACATATGCTTTGTTGAGTCAGGATTCCAACACAGATGTCTCACCCAGCTGCTATAATGAAGGCTGTCCCCTCGCACACCACCAGTTGCATGGCTTGATTCTATCAGATCCCTTTGAGTTTCAGTACAAAGGATCCTCAAATGGTAACACCACACTTACAGTTCTCTACATATTTGCACCACAGGACCCAGAAAGCAGAACAAGAAATAAACCCAAATATGTGGGTTCCCTAAGCTTGCTTGTTTCTGGAGCAATTTATATGCAAAACCCAGGCAAATTTTGTTACTAAGGTTATATTTTTATCCCTAACTGTTTTGTGTGGTAGACTGCTGACACTATTGAGTGATGTGAGGCTCCTGTTACATACCTTAGAAAGAACACTGGGTAATATAATAGACTGAACACTCAACAGAATACATTCTTTTACGATACATATTTTCACACTTTCGTGTGTCTGAAGTGAGAGTTTTCTTAGATTTTATGGCATCTCACTTTCGCTCTCCGCCAGGATAAGCTGCTGCTTGACTGGGTATGCTTAAGGTGGTTGCCATTCTCAGCAATGGTCCATGCTATGAATCGTTTTGGTGGAACCTAAGCAAAGGTAGTGAATCCTGTTTGCTGTCTGAAGCCTACCTGTGTCAGCATGTGCCAGAAACACTAGCAGAATGAGAGTCAAGTAGTTTGCAACATTTTGGAGGCACTAGTAACTGAAATGCTCTATCCTAGCTCTCTTTTGTGTTAAATATATTTTATTTTACAATAATTATAGATGTATCAGAAATTATAAAAATAGTACAAAAATCCCACAAATCCTATATTCAGTTTCTCCTAGTTGTAAGATCTACAACTGCATAACTTCAAAACCAACATTATGACAATGTTATAACATTCATGGCCACTAGACTTTACACTAATTACTGTCTGTGTACATAAATCTATACAATATTAGCACAGGAATAGTTTTATATACTGAACACTAGAAGCAAGATACAAAAAACTATTTTATCAGTACAAATGAACTCTTATTCCATAATGTCATAATAATACATGTCTGTGCAGTCCCAAACCCTGGAAATCATTAATCTGTTACTCCCTCTCCATAGTTCTGGTATTTCAACAATGCTATAGAAATGCAACTGTACAGCAAGTAACCTTTTGCAATTACCTTTCTTTTTCTATTTTCTATACTACATCCCAAGGCTCATCTTAGTTGTGTATCTTAGTACTCAGCTCCTTTAACTACAGAGTAATATTCCATGGTAGGAATTATCTGTTTAACTACTTACCCACTGCAGAACATTTGGCTATGTCAAATAAAACTGCTACAAATTTTTTTTGTCAAAGATTTTGTGCCCAGGCAGTGCAACTGCTTGGTTTTATGTAAAGTGTATATTTAACTTAAAAAATATTTCCATTGTCATTGTGTTTGAGAAATACAGTTTACTTTCCTAACAGTATTTGGCATTTTCACTATTATCTCTTTAGCACTCCTGTTAAGTATATGTCACACCATACTTTGGTTTTAATTTGCATTCCTCAATGACTTATGAAGTTCAACATATTTTTATAACATCCACTGCCATCTATATTTCTTCTTTGGTGAAAATGTCTATTTCTTTTTATTTCCTACTTGGGTTGTTTATTTTTGAGTTTTGATCATACTTTATTTTTCCATATTTATCAGATATCAGATACTACAAGGGTTGCAAGTAATTTCCTATCTTCTTATTCTCCTTTTTCTTTCCTTACAAAATAAAATTTTAGCTTTGGCAAAATCCAATATATCTACTTTGTTTTCTTTGGGATTGTCTTTGTGAGCTGAAGTTTAAAAACTTGCCTCCTGAAGATTTTTCTCATATATTTTTCTAAAAGGTTTTCTGTCTTACATTAAATCCATGAAATATTTGTGAGGTACAGCTGGAATTTATTTTGTTGGTCTGTGTAAGTTCAATTTACTAAAATGAATGCCCTTTCTTCCTTGAATCACTTTTATACTTTGTCAAAATTAGTGAGCCATATAATCGTGGGTTTATTTCTGGATTTTCTTTTCTGTTCCTTTGATTTATATGTCTAGTCTTCTGTGAATATCATAGTACCTTCACTACTGTAGCTTTATACGAAGTCTTGAAGTTACATAATGCGAGTCCTCCAACTTTATCTTCTTCAAAATTAATTTAGTTTATAAATTGTATGCCAAGTATTTTCATCTGCCCGTTTCTGTCCTCCTGCTTTAATCTAGGGAAGACAGCTCCTCCATAAGGCTTTCCTTTTCTTGTTCCAACTCCTGCAAATGCTGCTGGTTTTGTTCTAATCTGTTCTCCAACCACTGCAGCAGGGGTCCACAGACTGTGGATATCTGAGTGCACAAATGCTTGGTGAACACCGAGCCATTATGGATCTTGGTTAAGGAATCCAGATGTGTAAGTTTGTGAATCCTCCTATATTCATCTTGTTCCTCCTGACACAGGATCCTCGGCAGCTCTACTGCTGAGGTGAGGCACGCTTTGCCAATGGTGGTATGAGGTACAATATGAATTGGGATTTCAATTCTCTCATATCCTAAGCTCTTTGGGTCTTGTACAGATTGGAAGCAAGTGTAGAGAACCCGACCAGTCTTTGTGGTTTTGTCTTCTATGAAACAAGCAAAGATCAGTCCTACGAAGCCTTGATCCATCATCTGGTACATGGCTTGTGTATGGACATCGATATGGGAAGGCCAAACGGTGATATGAGGGTGGGAATGGTACCAGCCCACAATTCTCAGGGGACGACCTGTTTGTTCAGCTGACCTTTCTGCCTCGATTGAGGCTGCAGACAGTTGCTCTGGAGAAATCTCGACTCGGTCCTTTGTCTTGTCAGAACGTTGCAAGATAATGACGGAATGGATGTGAACAATTCCGGTGGCATCCATCTTTTCTGCAACTGCGTGCGCCTCAGTTTCCGCGTGTATAAATTTGGAGTCACTCCTCGCGTCATCACTCAACTCCCCAATACACAGACCCATCACCTCCTCTTTCTCTGTGCTCAGGGCGTGATTGAGACAAACCAGGAAAGCGTCAGACTCAAGATGAACCGCCAGCACCTTCCGTATCATCCGCACCGCCATCTTCCTCGGATCAGAGGCAGCCTTCCCAGGGGGCCTTGCGCACCGGGGTGGAGCCTGGGGCACAGGGGAGGGTCCATGTGCCAGAGGGGCGGGGCCTGGGGTGGAGCCTGGGGCACAGGGGAAGGTCCATGTGTCAGAGGGGCGGGGCCTAGGGGTGGAGCCTGGGGCACAGGGGAGGGTCCATAGGGGCATGACCTAGTGGGTAGAGGTGGAGCCTGGTGCAAAAGGGAGGGAACAGGCCCCCACAGGGGCGGTGCCTAGGGGCAGGGGTGTAGCCTGCCTAGCAACACAAGGAAGATTTTTTTTCCCTTTTACGGTGTTTACAAGATTGCTACAAAGTTAAAAATGTTTAAAGAAATCTGAGATCTTTTGATAAACATAAAATTCAGTGCTATGAATTTATATTGGCGTGATTTATTTTGCAATCATTTCTAGTAAGGGAATATAAATTGATAGTGAATTTTATAATTAATGATTTCTTAGAGTCAAACCAGGAGATGAAAAATGAACATTATTTATCAATTATTATGAGGTGATAAGCTTCATAAAAATTTGAACAACCTTAGTATCTCATTCTCTCTATTATGTTTAGTGATTTTAAACAGCATAAATTTTATAGGAATTAGTTAAAATAAAATTATATTCATTGGTACATTAGTTTTTCTCTCAGATCAATATAATAGGGACTGAAATAATAAGCCAAATACCTAAGTCAAAACCAAAATATTCAACTATAATGACAAAAAAGTCAAGACATCTTTTATAAACCTGAAAACTCCCCTACAATAAGGACACAAATCTCTGAAAACATAGGACATTAGAGCTGTTTCAAAAAGCATTCATAATGAATTCATAAAATTAACATTTCTATTTTAAAAAATATTTTATTACTGAAGCTTCAAAAAACCACACATGTTTTTAAATTGCTAGTTCATACTGGAGAATATTTGTGCTTTTAATGGGTCTCCCTACGTTTCAGCTAGAAAGACAAGGTTGTGGTCAAAAAGGAAAAATCAGAATAGCTTTCAAATGTATTGGAGAGATTTCAAGTACATTGTATAGTGCCATAAAAATGGTAAAGTTCCAGATTTCCCTTTTCTCCCTCCCGCTCTCTCTTTCTCCCTCCCTCTTCCTTCCTTTCTTCCTTCTTCCCCTCCTTATAGTTGATAGGAAAGATGGCCATGAAAACTGAGAGGAAAATAAAAACAATTCTAAATTTGTGTTTACCCCACTGTGGCTGAAAACCATGTTTTTATTTTATCTTTGCTGTTGTTCACTATTTCTTTTGGAGTTGACATCTTCCATTGATCAATTTTATGTGCACCAAAGTACAATATTAGTTGAAACTACCCTTTCAGTTTTGTGTAGTAATATAAAATTAGATGCTTTGGCAGTCTTTGAAGAAACACAGGTTAGCTGGTTGGAGCCAATTGACTCTCAAAATGCTTTCCATAGAAACTGCAGATAAATGATTTGGAATTCCCATTCTCCCTTGCTTTGTTGAAGCTCGGCTATGAACTCTCACTGTTTCTGAACTGCAGGCACTTGAGAGAAAAATCTAAGCTCATAGCACAAAGCCCTCTTTTATCAAACTGCTCAAACTGTCATTGTTTTGTCACACAGTGAAGCAAAGCTTCAAAATCGATCCACAGTTCCAATTGTGGTAAACTCAATGGCTGTAAAAATGTTCAAGTCTTCCAGTTTGAAATAGTATGTTAATAAACAAAGGTATACAATATTTACTAAAATGCAATATTCAGGTAGCTTAAAAGTATTCAGCATATAAGTGCACCTGATATTTACAAATAAACTTTATAAATCAGGGAATGTTACCATTTTTGTGTTAAGGATGAGAAGTTCTGCCAAAGGTTGCACAGCTAGTGAGTGACAGAGCTAAGTTTTGTACTGAACTAGGCTAGTTTCATAGTCCATGAAATTTGCTTACTAGTGAGGAAATAAATGTTGATTTAATAAATTATGTGCCTATAATGTGTCCAATATGATACGAAGTGTTCTGAATAATCCTCACCCTGTTTTAAATGAAGATAAGTATAATGAATATCTCTCAGACCTGTGGAGAAAGAAAAGCGCAGAGTTGGAGTTATTGGCTATAGAAATTATTGTGGGAGACTGTATTGAGAGAAACACATTGCATAGAAAATTACTGAGAGGGCTACACAGAAACTGAGAATTTAGTGCTGTTCATGTCTGTATTCTAAATATCTCAGCTTTGGAGTATGAAAGGTATCAATTTTGCTTCTTTCTCAAATTCTACCTTCTATTATGTCAGTGCATATTTGTGAACACAAAACATAAACAAACATTATCCGAAATCTACAGAATAGCCCATCCCTTCCCTATAATTTAGAACAAACACATTGTTTTGTTGTTGTTTATAGATAGCTGTGGTTGTAGGGAGATAACCTCCTCACATATCATAGGGAAGTCTTAATTCACGTGTCAGTCATGATAACGGGGTTCATTTTTACCCATGGTTGCTCTGGAAGTGGGATACAATTTGAGTATGCTGTGATATAAGAAGACATATGCTGGGTTCCTTCTGAGAACCTTTTCTAACTCTAGGCATGAAGATAGCCACAGAAATCAATACCTCTCTGCTGGTTGGTACTGTGATTGTTCGGGAACCCAGAACTGCTGTGCACATGATACTTTATGGATGGCAGAGTTGAATGTTGGTAGTGATGTTGAGTCGCATCACTAACTAACCACCTCTCACCTTGGGACTTGCAAAAAAGGCAATACACTTCCCTAAGGCTCAGCCCAGTTTATGTGCCCCTCTCTGTTGCTTGCATCCAGGAGCTAGTGTGTATAAACATGGTACAAGCTGACCCCCACAATAACAATCCAAACATCTACTTTTCTTCTAGGCTTATTTTATGCTATGTTTTGGTAATTTAATTTCTTCCAAATGCTCTTTTCTTGTGTGTGCCTCTGACTCTTAGCTTCAGAGTCTCAACAGGCTTTTGAGATAGTCAACCCATTTTTTATTTAGAGACTGTTCCATACATTGAGTTTATAATTTATGGTAAGGCGTAGTGCCCTGCAACCTGCCCATATGCTAGGTAAGTAAGAACTGTGTTGATAGGAAATATAAGAAAATTGGTTTGTGACTAGTTTCCCTTCATTTAAATGCTGAAAAGCGTTTAGAGAAGGATCCATTTTGTTACATAATATTTAACTTCAATATTTAACCTTTTAACGTGTTCATCATCAATGAAAATGTATTACATGGCAATGTACAGTTATACTTTACTGGGAACAATTTAGAAGCAAATCACAAAGTTTAACTGAGAAAAACATTGTAACATCAGATATCTATGTGTGACTACTAGGGGTATAGCCTTCAAGTACTTCTTAGGAGGCTCTCTCGTTCTTTTTTCCTTCTCATGCTTCTTTTGCTTTGTTTCCTAACAAGAAGCAATTTGTATTCTATCTCTGCAATGAGTCAAGCTTTCATAAATTTGAAATGCATCCATCAAGATTCTTATGCCTTTTTCCTCTTGACAAACTGAGATTGCATCACTTTAAGAAAGTGGTTTTAAAATAATGGTCAGGTCAAGACATGTTATAGACATATTTGAAATTGTCAAAGAACAAATAAGAGATATAAAGAACAAATTTTGGAACAACTGCCCATGCTATGTTAGCATAGCAAAAATGGCCATTCTACCAAAAGCAATCTACATATTCAATGTAATCTCTATCAAGATTCCAACATCATTATTCAAAGATCTTGAAAGGATTATTTTCAGCTCCATACAGAAACATAAAACACCCAAGATAGATAAAACAATCCTGAATAATAAAAGAACTTTTAGAGGTATTACTTTTCTCAACCTCAAACTGTATACTACAGAATTATAGCAATAAAACAACATGACATTGGCACAAAAACAGATATGCTGATCAATGGAATCAAACCAAAGATCCAGACATAAACCCACACACCTCCAGACATCTGAGTTTTGATAAAGAAGCTAGAAATACACACTGAAACAAAAGTTTCACAACAAATAGTGCTGGCCAAACTAGACAGCTGCATGTAGAAGAATCCGAATAGATGTATGTATACTTACCACCCTGCACAAAAGTCTACTCCAGGTGGTTCAAAGACCGTAATATGAAACCAGATACATTTTACTTGATAGAAGAGAAAAATCCAATTATCTTGAACTCATTGACACAGGAAAAGACTTTCTGAACAGAACACCTTTGGCACAGGTACTAAGATCAACAGTTAATATGACCTCATGAAACTGACAAAACTCTGCATAGCAGAGAACATCACACCATTCAGACAGAGTAGCAGCCTACAGAATCAAGAAAGAAAAGAATTTTACCAATTATACACTGGACAGAGGATTAATTTATAAAATATATTAAGAACTCATGAAAAAAACTAGGTATCAAGAAAACAAATAACCCAATTTAAAATCTAAAGTACAGCTGTAAACACAGAATTAACAATGGAGGAAACTCAAATGGCTGAGAAATACTTAAATGTTCAACATTCTTAGTCATCAGGGAAATGCAAATTAAAACTACTTTGAGATTTCATCTAACACCTATCAAGATGGCTAAGATCAATACAACTAGTGCCAGCTCACAGTGGTGAGGATGTGGAGGGAGGAGAATTAGTACTCATCCATTGCTGGTGGGAGTGTAAACTTGTACAGTCATTGTGCTAATCAGTGTGGCAGTTTCTCGGGAAAATGGGAATCCATCCAGCTATACTACTTTTGGGCATATACCCAAAGAATGCTAGATCCTTCCACAGAGACTATCTCTCTCATACATGTTAGCTGCTGCTCTATTCATAATAGGTAGTAACTGAAAAGAATCTAGATGCCCCATAACTGATGAACACATAAAGAAAATGTAGTATATTTTCACAATGGAATATTACTCATCCATTAAAAAAGTGAAATAATGAAATGAAATTCACAAGTCAATGGATGCAACTATAGAAAACATCATCTTAAGTGTAGTACCTA